ACATATATATAATGGAATATTACTCAGCCATAAAAAAGAATGAAATAATGCCATTTGCGGCAACATGGATGGACCTAAAGATTGTCATACTGAGTGAAGTTAAGTCAGACACAGAAAGACAAATATCATGAGATATTGCTTATATGCGGAATTTTTTTAAATGGTACAAATGAACCTATTTACAAAACAGAAATAGAGTCACAGATGTAGAAAACAAACTTATGGTTACCAAAGGGAAGGGTGGAGGGATAAACTGAGAGATTGGGATTGACATATATACACCACTATATATAAAATAGATAAGTAATGAGAACCTACTGTATAGCACAGGGAACTCTACTCAATACTCTGTAATGACCTATATGGGAAAAGAATCTGAAAAAGAGTAGATTAAAAACAAAAGAGTAGATATATGTATTATAATGTATAACTGATTCACTTTGCTGTATAGCAGAAACTAACACAACATTGTAAATCAGCTATACTCCAATTAAAAAAAGAAAACTTGGGCTTCCCTGGTGGCGCAGTGGTTGAGAGTCCGCCCGCCGATGTGAGGGACGCGGGTTCGTGCCCCGGTGCGGGAAGATCCCACATGCCGCGGAGCGGCTGGGCCCGTGAGCCATGGCCGCTGAGCTTGCGCGTCCGGAGCCTGTGCTCCGCAACGGGGAAGGCCACAACAGTGAGGGGCCCGCGTACAGAAAGAAAATAAATAAATAAATAAATAAAGAAAGAAAACTTAATCCAGAAAACCAAAACAAAACGATTCTCAAGCAAAATGGGCAATTCACAACAACTAAAGCAGCTGTTACTGGGAATAGCTATTTAGAAAGTTATGTCTCACCTAAATTGATGTATAAGATTTGTACACTTACTCTATTTCTTTAATTTTGTATCTATGAGATGATGGATGTTTACTAAACTTGCTGTGATAATCATTTCATGATGTACATAAGTCAAATCATTATGCTATACACCTTAAACTTATACAGTGCTGTATGTCAACTGTATCTCAATAACAGTAGAAGAAAAAAAAGATCCATACCCTTACAGTAGAGATTACAAGTGGGTAGGCCTAAAAGAGATCACTGACCCCTTCCATGAAGCAATACGATTCTTCATGTTTAAAAGTTAACTACTAAAAGAAAATTTCCAACCTTGCTCGGAGAAAAAGAATGCCACAAAGCATACGTATTTTCTCTCAAATCATCATGTATAATGTAATAAATAAGTAAAGATCTTAGGATCTTTAACATAACCATGAGAGCGCTTCACTGTATTTCAGAATCTTCAAAGGAGGCCTAGATAGATAAATTAGTTCCCTAGCTAATTAAGGATCCAGTTTCAAGTCTCAGGCTTAAGGACCAACTCCAATCCTATGAAACTTGTACTAACCACTTTTCCAAAGGGACACTTTCTCCTTTGACTCTTCCACAGCCCCACTAAAACCAGCAATTCACAATCACGTTGTCTGAAATTTAAATAACTCTTATTTTTATACCAGAACTGAATAGATGCTTTACAGACATTTTCTCTCATCCTACAACAACTCTGCAAAATTGGGTCTATCCCTATTTTATAGATGTAGAAACTGATGCTTAGAGTGTGTTACCCAAGGTTACACAACTAGTAGGGGACAAAACCAGCTTCTAAACCCAGATCTCTTTTACTTCAGAGCCTTTACTTTTACCCACTATGCAGTACTACCTCTTGCATGAAAGTATAACACTAATAATTACCAGCTGCTGTGTCTTGTGACCCTGGGCAAGTTTCTAAACTTCTCAGTGCCTCATTCTTCTCATCCATGAAATGAGGACAATACATTATAGGTACTGCATTGTGGTGAAGATTATATAAGATAATGTATGTAAAAGTCCTTTATAAACTATAATTGTTTATATTATTACATGTACTAGATTTTATGCTCCTTCAGAACAGGTTCTTATGCCTTACATGCATATTCCCTTCAACACCCAGTAAAGGGTTTAACATGAATTGAACATCTACTAGTCTTTGGAAAAATTTGAGACACCTTTTCCCCCTCTAAGGAGGAAAGTAAGTGGTGTCCCATTGCATGAAGCCTGGGATTAAGTATCTGTAATCCAAACCTTAAATTACAACACAGTGACAAACTCAGTGTACCCATCAAACATGAGATTTAAACAGCCTCCATGACATTTAACTGTCTGGTGTTTCCTTTCCAACGTGGCTTTAGTGCCATAACAGTTCAAAAGGGGGAAAATCCCAAATGAAAATATCAACACATTTTGTAAGAAAACGTGCCCGGAAGGAGGGAGAGCAGAATAAGGCCTGATTTGTTATCCGAGTTAACAGAGACCCATTGTTTTGTGTACTATCTGAATTACAGCCTCCTGACGACAGTAGTAACTATAACACGGTCTAACTCGTTACTCACTGTGAAATTTCATTTACTTTAAGAAAAAGACCAATAACATATTTATTAAATTTCCTTACGCATACTCACATCCCCCTCAGTAAGATGGACATATCTAGCAGTATATCCAGGGACGGGAGCCAATATGCCCCAGGCTAAGACTGTGCTAGATTTGCTACCAAGTAAGCACAGCGGAAGGGAACCAGCCCCTGCTCTGCTGATATGTGATTCTTGGGAAGCCACTTAACATCTCTGTTAATGATGGATCTGTTTTCCACTCTGTAAAACATGAGCTAATATTATTTTGCCTACCTCACAAGTTTACTGTGAAGGTCAAATGAAATAATAATATATGTGAAATTAATTTACAAATTATATTACCAGAAATAGCTAGATAATCACCTACCACTTGTCTTTTAGTAAATGTCACATACTAGCAAAGCTGACGTACAGATTTCTCTGAGTGTGTTCACCTTATAGTAACAAAGAGAATTTTTTAAAAATCTACTCGGGGGACTTCCTTGGTGGTCCCAGTTGTTAAAGACTCCGCACTTCCACTACAGGGGGCGCAGATTCGATCCCTGGTCTGGGAACTAAGATCCCACATGCTGCGCAGTGCAGCCAAAAAATTAAATTAAAAAAATGAAAAGAACTATAAAATAAGAAAATAAAAATCTACTTGGGAATTCCCTGGGGGTCCAGTGGTTAGGACTCCAGGCTTTCACTGCCAGGGGCCTGCGTTCAATCCCTGGTTGGGGAACTAAGATCCCGCAAGCCTCAGGGCGTGGCCAAAAAAAAAAAAAAACACAGCAGGCATTTAAATAAATAAATAAATAAATAATCTACTCGTCTCTGAGATGGACACAACAAACACTTTCTTATCTACAGAGCTATGGAAGAGGTAACTGGTAAAGCTGATCTTTCCACAATGGATCTATATATTTTTTAAAAAAATATCTTCAAATGGTTCAGCTATGCCTTCCTAAAAGTGTGAAAATGGATTATCAGATCAAGATGTAGCCAGAGACTTCATATGTGACAAGCATCACATACTAGGTCATTTTACCTAGTACCTCAGTCTCTGCAAAATGCCATGTGGCTCAGAGTACTAAAAACTAGTCCTCTCCTTCTCTCCCCACTGGTCATCCCAGCTGCTTCCTCAATACCTCTGGCAAAAAGAAAATAAGGAGAATTGAGAATTCAAAATTATCTTAGATACAGGACATGCCTACCACCCCTCTTTGGGTTTCCTTGACCTAATTCCTTTCTGAACTAAGCACAGGAACCCACAAAAGACTGATGATGTAGTGTACTGGCTGACCCCCTGACCCCAGTAATTCTCTGAACTGTACTGCCAACTTGCACCAGAACTTTAACTAAAGAAAAATTGCACAGATGTCCAAAAGTAGACTGAAAGCTAGAAAGGCTTCAAGTCACACACACAGTATACACACAAAAGAAAAACTTATCCCACTACCATTTTTGTTGATCATTTATCAACTATGTTGAACTGTATATACATTTTCAGTCATAACAGTAAGAAAAAAGGAAGAAACATAATAATAAGCACCTTTTTTTTTTTTTTTTACGGTACACGGGCCTCTCACTGTTGTGGCCTCTCCCATTGCAGAGCACAGGCTCCGGACGCGCAGGCTCAGTGGCCATGGCTCACAGGCCCAGCCGCTCCGCGGCAAGTGGGATCTTCCCGGACCGGGTCACAAACCCATGTCCCCTGCATCAGCAGGCAGACTCTCAACCACTGTGCCACCAGGGAAGCCCAATAATAAGCACTTCTGAGGAAATTCTGCCAGGGGCAAATACTTTAGACACTGCTTACTCTTATTTCATTATAAAGAGGCCAAAATTTGCCTTCGCAATATAAACAAACAATATAAAGTGCTTGAGGCCGCACTTGCCTTCTGAGGTGGCCCACACTCTGTGGAATGTGTTTCTCTCTAAATAAATCCATTTCGTACCTATCAAACAAAAATAATAATAATGATGATAATAAAGTGCTTGAGCACTTGAAATCCTAATTTCCTGTGAAACCCTTGCTCTCTCCCATCATTTGGAACTTGCTAACATTTCTCAAATAATCCTCTGAGTAGAATTTCCATTTTCTCAGAAGTGTCCCACAAATAGACAAAATGTTTCTTTGTGTCAAGGCCGTTGGCTTTTACTATTTACTTAATTTTTGTACCCTTCTGTTGAAGAATAATTTATTGATGTTGACAAAATCATTGCACCATCTTTGTCCCTGATTATGATTTGTAAGCCACTTGAAGGAAAAGTGACCTATCAAATTTTTTGTACTGATGACATTTGTTCCAACATTTTAGTCTTTTTTTTTTAAAGAACTTGTTTTTGTTTGTGTAGGTTTGGCGATTTCTAAAAATACCAAAACACACCATGAAACATATTATCTGTTTAATGATCTGATGATGTGATGACCTCATCTTAGCAGACCTTGAATTTCAAGAGTCCCTGAATTACAAACAAGATAATTATTTAAGGCCAACTTCAACCTGATCTCTATTGCTCTTCTAAGAAGTTTTTGTGTATGAAATAATAATATCCATTACCAGCAATGCCAGAGAAGCATACTTACCAAGTGAACATAAGGCACAAAGTATCCAAAAAGTGCAAGTGGTATTCCAACTGCCCACACTGCATATGCTGTCACCTTGAAGATGGCAAAATTGAAAATTTTTTTTGGAGGACTGAACTTTCTCCTGGAAAAGAGGGAGAATCTGTTGCCTCCTTTGGTTCCACTGTCTTTATCTTTGGCACTGGAAGCAAGAGGTCGGTAAGTAAAGCCAGCCAGAAAGAGAACAAACATGAAGATGCAGAGGACCCTCAGGGTATAAAAGAGGCCCACGCTCTCAGTCAGTACCCTTAAAAGGAAAGGCAGCAAAATTGTGAAGATACTGCTGCCGGCGGTGACAATGCCATTCACCAGTCCAAGGCGCTTCTTGAAATAGTGTCCCAAAATGACCAATGAAGGCTGGTAGGCAAAGGAGCAGCCACAGGCAAATATGATTCCATAGGTCAGGTACAGAGGCTCGATGGAGCTGTGTAAAGACGAAAAAGATGGAGAGCAGCTTTCATTATTTTTATCATGTGCTTGGTAGAATAAAACCTTATTTTAAAACTGGGTTTCAGTTAATCAAAGTATTTTCTACAAATAAAAATCAACCAAAAACAGAGGTGAAAAACTTAATAAGTCAAGAATACAATGCTGAAATATTTTAATTTAATGTGAACGGATAATAAAAAATGCCTTGAGTATGTGAAAAAATGACCGTTAAGGTCATCAGTGATTTGATTCCTCCTTCTCTTTCTATGGATTTCAGGCAAACCATGCAGCACTGGGTAAAAACTGTTGTGTTCTCCGCAACTCAGAAATAAAGGACAGTGCCAGGAAGGGCCTCAGTAAAACTGACAATGATTAAAATTAAAAATTAAAAAAAAAACTAGTCGTGATAAAAGTTTTTAAAAAGTATAATTTAACTATGAAAGCTCACTTTTTTAATGGAGTTTTCCCAGGCACTTACTAAGCAATCTACTCAAAGAAAAGGCTGCATCTGATATTTTCTCCACAAGGTTATGTCACAAACGTTTGCACAGGGGAGCAGTTCTGTTGCATTTTGCTGGCCTAAGGGCTGCAGACCAACCTTCGCCCTGTACTGCACTGTTCTTGGTATTGTGCAAGATAAGGAGAAATCATATTCTGATTGCAGGAATACTAAATGAAGTGTGTTCACTAGTGATCCCAGTTTGTAAGCTTTAGGGCCGTGTATGTCTCAAAAAAATAATAAAGGATTAAGAATTCTTTATTTTAACCAAATAACTTAATTATACACTTCTTATGAAAGTAAATGAACACAGGGAATTCCCTGGCGGCCCAGTGGTTACGACCCCTCATTCTCACTGCCGAGAGGGCCTGAGTTCGATCTCTGGTCAGGGAGCTAAGATCCCACAAGCCTCACGGTGGGGCAAAAAAAAAAAAGAAAAATAAAAAGAGAGGGCTGAAGCAAGAGGAGGCTGCAGATGGAAGAAAGTAAAAAAACAAAACAGTAAAGGAACATACAGCATCACATTCTTTGAAACATTTAAGGTAAGGAGTGAAAGAAAACTAAAGTTTTTTTTCTTTTGAAAAGTTCAATTCAAAAGGCTGTTTATCAGTAGTAAAGGCAAGCTATTTATTAGAAACTAAGATAGATAAAGTTGGTTAATAATTAAATTTTGGACAATAATTCTAGCCTAGCAATATGCTGAGGTAATCACAAGGAATTCTAGAATCTGATAAAATTAAGGCAGGTTGTCAATTCTCTCTCCCTGAGATGCCCTTTCCCCCTCTATTAATCCACAGTTAGAACCATCTTCAAATCAGGCTCAAGAGCCACTCCCAGACTCTCCCAGATTAACCCTACCTCACTCTGATCACTCTTTACTGAAACTCCACTCTTTATTCAATAAACATATATTTAACAGCTACTATGCTCCAGATACTTGGTGAAAAGAATATTTAAAATGTGGTTATGCCCTACTTCTAGTCTGCTTAGTGAAACAAGACATCTACGCCAGATAATAAGAATACAGAACAAAATATAAATAATACTTCACTCATTCTGCATCAGTTTCTGCACATAAGTAGTTTTCCAGGTAACTACAACTTACTTCTTAAGGTGCTAATTTATTTTTATTTAACAATTTTAAAGGAAGAATCTAAATCTAAATACATTTCTCTGCCTTCTTCAAAGTGTATGTTAAAAATAGTATTGACAGCAAAGTATCATCATGAATACCAGTATCTACACAATTATACCACATTATTATAAAGCTGTCAGTTGGAAAACCAGAGAGCCACTGACATAAATCACAGACATTCTTTTGCACAACATTTAAACAGAGAGTGCTGGGTAAGATTAACTTTGTATCTCTCCCACAGAGTAAAGTACATAAGCTTTGTGATGGCATTTTCACTGCTGCTGGAACCTTTTTTACTTCTAAATTTTCACCTTAGTAACAGGTGGTTCAAACTATTGAAGTATGACAACTGAATAAGTACAGTGTAAATCAGTAAGATATCAAATATGTGTGGAAAAAGGATTCCAAGAAGAGACACTGATGCAACCTGGGGGTGCTAGAGAAGGCTTTCTTAAAAAGGCAGAACTTGAACTAGAGGAAAAGAGGGTTGGTCCACTGTTTGACACTTGGAATTTACACTACATCTCCCCCTTGCGCCTGTGTATTGTTCTGAAAGTCTGGCAGCTTTTGATCGGTGGGGGGTTAAATAATGAAACTGAATAGAAAACATGACAACATTACATACAGTAAGGTAAAGATGGCTTCAAGACATTTTGTTTTAGTTAGGGGTGGGGATGGGGGAGGGAAAGAGAAAGGAAGAACTAGGTCACAATGTAAAATACATTTCATAATTTTTATTTCTCAGCGGTCAAAACTATTTGAGAAACACTGCTTGCTGTAAGCAGGTTTGTGTATATGTGTTTTGTCTACCAAATTAGGTAATAAGTTACATGGATTTTCTATCTCTTAGTTTCTCTCTCCACCAAAGCCTGAGTGTTAACACTTCAGCAAGCGCTAAGAATACTGACAATGGGTACCTGGAAGCTTCCAGACCAAGTGGGTATCTGACAAGGTGGTTATCACGCCATGCTGTATTACTGATAAAGAAGAACTAAAAGTAAATGATCTCACAGAGCTACCTAAGCAGAATCTTATTCCAAACAAAACTGGGTTTTGTTTCTTTAAAAAAAAACTTTAGAAGAAGAAAAAAAAAACAAAACACAAAGGCACTTTAAAGGTAGAATATTTATTTTCTAACAAAAAATTAAAATAATTGTTTAGGGACTTCCCTGGCGGCACAGTGGTTGAGACTCCGCCTGCCAATGCAGGGGACACAGGTTCATGCCCTGGTCCAGGAAGATCCCACATGCTGTGGAGCAACTAAGCCTGTGCGCCACAACTACTGAGCCTGTGTGCCACAAGTACTGAAGCCTGCGCTCTAGAGCCCATGCTCCACAACAAGAGAAGCCACAGCAATGAGAAGCCCACGCACCGCAACAGAGTAGCCCCCGCTCGCCACAACTAGAGACACCCCGCGCACAGAAACGAAGACCCAACGCAGCCAAAAATAAATAAATAAATAATTGTTTAGAAGCCAAATAAAATGTCTAAGTTAGGTGAAAGAAAGAGGCTCACTCTAGAGTTCAGAAAGGGGTATATATGGGGAGAATGGGGGTAAAATTAGCAAACCAAGGATTCTGTTGATTAAATCTTAAATATTTAAAAATAAACATGGCGGGAATTCCCTGGCGGTCCAGTGGTTAGGATGCCATGCTTCCACTGTAGTGGGCCTGGGTTTGATCTATGGTTGGGGAACTAAGATCCTATATGTTGCGTGGTGCAACCAAAATAAACAAACAAATAAATAAAGATTACAGGAACAAAAAAATAAAATAAAAATAGGGCTTCCCTGGTGGCGCAGTGGTTGAGAGTCTGCCTGCCGATGCAGGGGACACGGGTTCGTGCCCCGGTCCGGGAAGATCCCACATGCCGCAGAGCGGCTGGGCCCGGGAGCCATGGCCGCTGAGCCTGCGCGTCCGGAGCCTGTGCTCCGCAGTGGGAGAGGCCTCAACAGTGAGAGGCCCGTGTACTGCAAAAAAAAAAAAACAGGGTAGGGGCTTCCCTGTTGGCACAGTGGTTAAGAATCCACCTGCCAATGCAGCAGACACAGGTTCAAGCCCTGGTCCAGGAAGATCCCACATGCCGCGGAGCAACTAAGCCCACGTGCCACAACTACTGAGCCTGCGCTCTAGAGCCAGTGAGCCATAACTACTGAGCCCGTGTGTCACAACTATTGAAGCCCACGTGCCTAGAGCCCATGCTCCACGACAAGAGAAGCCACTGCAATGAGAAGCCCACGCACCGCAACGAGGAGTAGCCCCCACTCGCCAAAACTAGAGAAAGCCCACAAGCAACAAAGAAAACCCAAGCAGCCAAAAATAAAATAAATTAAAAAAAAAATAAAGATGGCAAGCAACATAAGTTTGATTTTTTTTTCTAATAACCACAATAATGCTTTTCAACTAGAGCACGAAGATAGCTAGGGAAGAGAAAGGCACAGGATGAAAATTAACTACTAAAGTAGAGACAGAATGAAAATAATCTTAAGGTTTTTCTTGTTAATCACCTCCTGTTAGCCAGACCTACCTATTAAACCAGTGTTTCACTAACTGGGGATTATTCTGACAATGAAAGGGTATTTACAGGTAGAACTGGAGCTGGAGGGAGAGGTGCTTCTATGGTAATATGCCCACCAGCTCTTTGCAGTTAGTTCCTCTGCAGTGCACAACAGCTTTTAACAGACACAGGGAAAAGAGTGTTTTATTTTAAGCTGCATTTGACCACTTCATTTTGTCATGATCTTTTTAAATTTCAGCATTGTTCTTTTTTTAAAAAGAGTCCCAGGCAGGATAAACCCAAGGAGAAACACGCCAAGACACATAGTAACCAAGCTGACAAAAATTAAAGACAAAGAAAAATTATTGAAAGCAACAAGGGAAAAACGACAAATAACATACAAGGGAACTCCCAGAAGGTGAACAGCTGATTTCTCAGCAGAAACTCTACAAGCCAGAAGGTAGTGGCATGATATATTTAAAGTGATGATGAAAGGGAAGAACCTACTACCAAGATTACTCTACCCAGAAAGGATGTCATTCAGATTCGATGGAGAAATCAAAAGCTTTACAGACAAGCAAAAGCTAAGAAAATTCAGCACCACCAAACCAGCTCTACAACAAATGCTAAAGGAACTTCTCTAAGTGGGAAACACAAGAGAAGAAAAGGACCTACAAAAACAAACCCATAACAATTAAGAAAATGGTAATATGGGCTTCCCTGGTGGCACAGTGGTTGAGAGTCCGCCTGCCGATGCAGGGGACACGGGTTCGTGCCCTGGTCTGGGAGGATCCCACATGCCGCGGAGCAGCTAGGCCCGTAAGCCATGGCAGCTGAGCCTGCGTATCCGGAGCCTGCACGTCCGAAGCCTGTGTGTCCGGAGCCTGTGCTCCGCAACGGGAGAGGCCACAGCAGTGAGAGGCCCGCGTACCGCAAAAAAACAAAAACAAACAAAAGAAAATGGTAATAGGAACATATATATCAATAATTACCTTAAATGTGAATGGATTAAATGCTCCAACCAAACGACACAAGCTCACTGAATGGATACAAAAACAAGACCCATATATATGCTGTCTACAAGAGACCCACTTCAGACCTAGGGACATATTCAGACTGAAAGTGAGGGGATAGAAAAAGATATTCAGTGCAAACGGAAATCAAAAGTAGCTATACTCATATCAGACAAAACAGACTTTAAAATAAAGAATGTTACAAGAGACAAGGAAGGACACTAAATAATGATCAAGGGATCTATCCAAGAAGAAGATATAACAGTTGTAAATATTTATGCACCCAACGTAGGAGCACCTCAATACATAAGGCAACTGCTACAGATGTAAAAGAGGAAATCGAAAGTAACACAAAATAGTTGGGGACTTTAACACCTCACTTACACCAATGGACAGATCATCCAAAATGAAAATAAATAAGGAAACAAAAGCTTTAAATGACACAATAGACCAGATAGATTTCACTGATATTTATAGGACATTCCATCCAAAACCAGCAGATTACACTTTCTTCTCAAGTGTGCACAGAACATTCTCCAGGCTAGATCACATCTTGGGTCACAAATCAAGCCTCAGTAAATTTAAGAAAACTGAAATCATATCAAGCATCTTTTCTGACCACAACACTATGAGATTAGAAATAAATTACAGGGAAAAAAATGTAAAAAACACAAACACATGGAGGCTAAACAATACGTTACTAAATAACCAAGAGATCATAGAAGAAATCAAAGAGGAAATCAAAAAATACCTAGAGACAAATGACAATGAAAACACGATGATCCAAAACCTATGGGATGCAGCAAAAGCAGTTCTAAGAGGGAAGTTTATAGCAATACAAGCCTAACTCAAGAAACAAGAAAAACCTCAAATAAACAATCTAACGTTACACGTAAAAGAACTAGAGAAAGAGCAAACAAACCCAAAGTTAGTAGAAGGAAAGAAATCATAAAGATCAGAGCAGAAATAAATGAAATAGAAACAAAGAAAACAACAGCAAAGATCAATAAAACAAAAAGCCGGTTCTCTGAGAAGATAAACAAAACTGATGAACCTTTAGCCAGACTCATCAAGAAAAAGAGCGAGAGGACTCAAATCAATAAAATTAGAAATGAAATAGAAGTTACAACAGACACTGCAGAAATACAAAGCATCCTAAGAGACTGCTACAAGCAACTCTATGCCAATAAAATGGACAACCTGGAAGAAATGGACGAATTCTTAGAAAGGTTAAAACTTCCAAGACTGAACCAGGAAGAAACAGAAGATATGAACAGACCACTCACAAGTAATGAAATTGAAACTGTGATTTAAAATCTTCCAACAGGGCTTCCCTGGTGGCACAGTGGTTGACAGTCCACCTGCAGATGCAGGGGACACGGGTTCGTGCCCCGGTCCAGGAAGATCCCACATCCCACGGAGCGGCTGGGCCCGTGAGCCATGGCCGCTGAGTCTGCACATCTGGAGCCTGTGCTCCGCAACACGAGAGGCCACAACAGTGAGAGGCCCGCATACCGCAAAAGAAAAAAAAAAAATCTTCCAACAAACAAAAGTGCAGGACCAGATGGCTTCACCAGTGAATTCTATCAAACATTTAGAGAAGAGCTAACACCTATCCTTCTCAAACTCTTCCAAAATATTGCAGAGGAAGGAACACTCCCAAACTCATTCTATGAGGCCACCATCACCCTGATACCAAAACCAGACAAAGATACTACAGAAAAAGAAAATTACAGACTAATATCACTAATGAATACAGACGCAACAATCCTCAACAAAATCGTAGCAAACAGAATCCAACAACACATTAAAAGGATCATACACCTTGATCAAGTGGGATTTATCCCAGGGATACAAGGATTCTGCAATATACGCAAATCAATGTGATACACCATATTACCAAACTGAAGAATAAAAACCATATGATCATCTCAATAGATGCAGAAAAAGCTTTTTACAAAATTCAACAGCCATTTGTGATAAAAACTCTCCAGAAAGTGGGCACACAGGGAAACTACCTCAACATAATAAAGGCCATATATGATAAACCCATAGCAAACATCATTCTCAATGGTGAAAAACTGAAAGCATTTTCTCTAAGATCAGGAACAAGACAAGGATGTCCAGTCTCGCCCCTATTATTCAACATAGTTTTGGAAGTCCTAGCCATGGCAATCAGAGAAGAAAAAGAAATAAAAGGAATACAAATTGGAAAAGAAGAAGTAAAACAGTCACTGTTTACAGATGACATGATACTATACGTAGAGAATCCTAAATATGCCACCAGAAAACGATTAGAGCTAATCAATGAATCTGGTAGAATAGCGGGATACAAAATTAATGCGTAGAAATCTCTTGCATTCCTATGCACTAATGATGAAAAATCTGAAAGAGAAATTAAGGAAACACTCCCATTTACCACTGCAACAAAAAGAATAAAATACCTAGGAATAAACCTACCTAAGGAGGTAAAAGACCTGTACTCAGAAAACTGTAAGACACTGATGAAAGAAATTAAAGATGATACAAACAGATGAAGAGATATACCATGTTCTTAGATTGGAGGAATCAATATTGTGAAAATGACTATACTACCCAAAGCAATCTACAGATTCAGTGCAATCCCTATCAAATTACCAATGGCTTTTTTTTTTTTTTACAGAACTAGAATAAAAAATCTTAAAATTTGTATGGAGACACAAAAGACCCCGAATAGCCAAAGCAGCCTGAGGGAAAAAAATGGAGCTGGAGGAATCAGACTCCCTGACTTCAGACTATACTACAAAGCTACAGTAATCAAGACAATATGGTACTGGCACAAAAACAGAACTATAGACCAATGGAACAGGATAGAAAGCCCAGAGATAAACCCACGCACCTTTGGTCAACTAATCTATGACAAAGGAGGCACAGATATACAATGGAGAAAAGACAGCTTCTTCAATAAGTGGTGCTGGGAAAACTGGACAACTATATGTAAAAGAATGAAATTAGAACACTCCCTGACACCATACACAAAAATAAAGTCAAAACGATTAAAGACCTAAATGTAAGATCAGACACTATAAAACTCTTAGAGGAAAACACAGGAAGAACACTCTTTGACATAAATCACAGCAAGATCTTTTTTGATCTACCTCCTAGAGTAATGGAAATAAAAACAAAAATAAACAAATGGGACCTAATGAAACTTAAAAGCTTTTGCAAGGCAAAGGAAACTACAAACAAGACAAAAAGACAACCCTCAGAATGAGAGAAAATATTTGCAAATGAATCAACGGACAAGGGATTAATCTCTAAAAAGATTTATAAATATATAAATCTCTAAAATATATAAACAACTCATGCAGCTCAATATTTAAGAAACAAACAACCCAATCCAAAAATGGGCAGAAGACCTAAACAGACATTTCTCCAAAGAAGACATACAGATGGCCAAGAAGCACATGAAAAGCTACTCAACATCACTAATTATTAGAGAAATGCAAATCAAAACCACAATGAGGTATCACCTCACACCAGTTAGAATGGGCATCATCAGAAAATCTACAAACAACAAATGCTGGAGAGGGTGTGGAGAAAAGGGAACCCTCTTGCACTGTTGGTGGGAATGTAAATTGATACAGCCACTATGGAGAACAGTATGGAGGTTCCTTAAAAAACTAAAAATAGAATTACCATATGACCCAGCAATCCCACTACTGGGCATATACCCAGAGAAAACCATAATTCAAAAAGACACATGCACCTCAATGTTCACTGCAGCACTATTTACAACAGCCAGGTCATGGAAGCAACCTAAATGCCCATCGACAGACAAATGGATAAAGAAGATGTGGTACATTTATACAATGGAATATTACTCAACCATAAAAAGGAACGAAATTGGGTCATTTGTAGAGACGTGGATGGATCTAGAGACTGTCATACAGAGTGAAGTTAAGTGAGAAAGAGAAAAACAAATATCGTATATTAACGCATATATGTGGAACCCAGAAAAATGGTACAGATCAACCGGTGTGCAGGGCAGAGACGCAGATGTAGAGACCAAACGTATGGACACCAGAGGGGAGAGTGGCATGGGGCAGGGTGGTAGTGTGATGAATTGGGAGATTGGGATTGACATGTATACACTAATAAGTATGAAATGGATAACTAATAAGAACCTGCTGTATAAAAAAAATAAAGTTTTAAAAATAAATAAATAAAATAAAGAATGCAGGCAGGAATTCTCTACCTGTGTTGAAATAAATAGCAAAGTCTGGATTTCATTAATAAAAATATTTCATATCAAGCCTATGAACAACCACTTCAAAATACCACTTCTCGTACCCTTTGGGGCTCAGACTGAGCTGACCATAAACTAAGCCCATTGTTTTAGACAACTTACTGTTATGAGTTAAGATTCTTCTGTGAATGGAAAAAACAAAAGGAGAAACATTTTTTCTTGGCTCCAGAGAACATATGTATCCTGACTGACATCTAACTCTGAGGCACTGCAAGCAGAAGCATTCAAATTCACAAGCTCTGATTTGCTGCTGTAGACAACAATGCGTTAAGTGACGCTGCTTAGTTTAAGTACTGAAAAGGAGGATTTTTCCTTGTAAACAGCAAAGTTTCTAAAAGGAAATCTTTAAGGTAGCTAACAGTTTTTGAAAAGTGACATGAAGAAGCCAAGTCCTTACCTTACAAAAGAACTTGATACGAGTCCAACAAATCCAACAGCAGCACCCACGACAGCTGTTCTCCGGCAACCAAACACGTCTGTGAAGACGCTGACAATTGGGCAGCAGAAGAAAATCATCCCCATGGAGAGAGAACTTACCCATGCTGTAAAAGAGGAAACAAAGGGACATTATGACATGGTAAATTCTATTTGTCCTTACCTAATAAGATATAATACATATTCAGAACAGTATTAATGCAGAAAAGGTATTACCCAGATTGATGAATGGGGGGAAGTTGGAATAAGTAACAAATCTGAATCACAGATGAAAGGACTGACCAATACTAATTATAATTAGCAAAGCAATTATTTGTGTTTAATGGAACTCTTAAAAAGTTTGTATTCTTAAATAAATCAAACATTCTCCTGTGACCTAATCACTATTAATCTCTATCCTGGTATCTATGGTTAATTTTAAGCAACTTCTAATCTATGGAAACAAATTTATTTCAAAAAATTGAGATACGTTTAGGAACACATGCCTAGGTGATCAAACTGCAAAGAAATGATGACCACCAAACTCAATACAGTGGTGAAACTCAGGGGAGAAAAAGGAATTATAACCATCTGGACCCAGTAGATAAGAACTGAACATTTGCCTAGAGTCTGGGCTTTGTGCTTTTGTTAAAGGAATAAAGTAGTACACAGGTAGGCTGTTTGTTGACCTGGGTAACAGTTACTGTGTATTCACTTTACTTATAAAACCATACATATATTTTATCTTCTTTTCTGAAAGTATGCTATCTTTCACAATAGAAAAGATTTGAGAATCAGGTCATAATTTCCTGTTCTGATCTGTAAAGACCAAAACAAAAGGAAAGCCAAAAAGAGAAACATACTGAGTACAAATGATCATAAATTTGTGCCCAAGAAATGAGCGATCTTATAGGATATCAAGTCTGTAAATTCTTAAAAAGTATATAAACTAGTGGGGCCTAAGTGAACATGAGCTATAAAACAAACAGACCTGGGTCCAAATCCCCCATCTCTGTAACTACAATATATCCTTCAGCAGGTCACTTCCTCTGAGTCTGTTTTCTCATCTGGAAAGGGAATTGAACACAGACTTTTCCAGAATTATTAAGGATTAGAGAAAATGTATCTAAACCTCTGCATCTAGCACAGGAACAATTAATAATTCAGAGTTTTAACAACAACAAATTGTCTTATAAAATGAAACAGATGATCTCCAATGCTCCATCCAGCTCTGACAGTCTACTAGTATATTACTCTAGTTCCTCAGCAAAGGAATTAAGTCCAGATCCTGTGCTAATGCCCATTTCTTAATAATGTGGTCCAAATGGATCTTCACCAGACTAACAATTTCATTTAATTCTTTGCCTTCTTACCTTTTAAATTATTTTTTTAATTATGTATATTTTAATCAGCCATAATTCTCTTTTCTTTCTTCCCTTACCAGAAAGGAGACTATGATCTTAAAACAAAACACAATGGGACGCAAATAGAGATTATCATACTAAGTGAAGTCAGAAAGAGAAAGACAAATACCATATGATATCAGTTATATGTGGAATCTAAAATATGGCACAAATGAACCTATCTACAAAACAGAAACAGACTCATAGACATAGAAAACAGACTTGTGGTTGCCAAGGAGGAGGGAAGATGGAGAGGGATTGACTGGGAGTTTGGGGTTGGTAGACGCAAACTACCACATTTAGAATGGATAAACAACAAGGTCCTAATGTATAGCACAGGGAACTATATTCAATATCCTGTGATAAACCATAATGGAAAAGAATATATAAAAAAAGAAAGTCTATATGTGTATAACTGAGTCACTTTGCTGTACAGCAGAGATTGGTACAACACTGTAAATCAACTACACTTCAATAAAACACACACACACACACACACACACAATGAAGAGACTGTACAAACAATGCAGTCTTGGCTTAGGTGCTGGTGGGGGAATTCAGAAGTGGAGAGCAGAGAGGCGACTGGCCAGATGAACTAGCACAACCTCAACCCCAGATGTGCAGAGCTGTTTAGTATGGGCTTGCTCAAGGAGAAGTGCAAATTTTTTAGTCTATGTTATATAAAAATGTCACTGATTTATAATAATTTAATCTTATTCAAAAAAAGTTTAGTCATCTATCCTGTTTATGAAACAACCTAGGCAGACTAGAAGAATAGCATCCTAACCTTTATTTTTGGATAAAGGTGCTTTTACAATTAAGTGAAACACCAACACTAAATTGGAGCCCACTTTAAGAAATCCAAGAGCGGAATTCCCTGGAGGTCCAGTGGTTAGGAGGACACCGCATTTCCACTGCAGGGGGCACGGGTTCGATCCCAGGAAACTACGATCCCGCATTCCGTGTGGTCCGGCCAAAAAAAAAGAAATCTAAGAACATACAGCAGCATTGCATGTAATGCTCACATAAGTCAAGGCACTTTTCAAGAATAAAAACAAGGCTTAATGCATTACCATAGATTTCGGACTACTGCAATGCCAAACGTGAAAATTTTTACAGAATTTTTATGTCCACTGAACATGCACTAACTGCAGGATATAATCAAATATAACTTTATTTTTGTCTCGGCTATCCTCTTAAAATGTATGCAGGGAGAAAATGTTCCCCCGGCACTGGATGACCACTCAGCAGGCCCACACGTTTCTTCTAGCCAGTGCTAAGTAACAAAGTCCTACAGTCACTTTAGGTTACAAACCAATCTTCACTAGGTAATCAAATCTCATTTCCCACCCCCAGCTGGGAAAAGAGTAAGCTCAGCTATGTCTTTTCCATGACCCTTCTCCCCTTCCCTAGCTGCTGTTGTCTCCAAAGTGGATATGAGAGAGAGGAGTGCTGGGAGACGGAAGGCAACGAGATTCCAACTTAAGAGGTCCTGCCAAAAGGCCTGTCTGGTGATGTCTGAAGTGGACTCTTTTCCTCAGATGCACTTCTGTGGGTTCTTCAGAGTCTCACCTCAGAGTTTCTTCTGGCTATAGCTCTACCGACGTGGACAGTTCAGTGGATAGTTCATTCTCCTCCTGGCTTTTTGGCTGTCACTTAAAAGACTCACTGTTGGAGCCTCATTGCCCTTCTAGGCAGTTTATTTGGGCAGGAATTAAAACAGCTCCAGGCCGCCTCTCTCCTCCACTAGGCCTGCCTCTGCTCTGCAGGAAGTATTCATATTTCCTTTGCCTGGACAAACACTGGAGTGTAGGCAAATTCCAACACAGCCTACCTCTTGCTGTGGGAGCAGTCAGCCAGCTACAGTTCTCTCCTTGACGGATTTCTCAGGGGATCCAGACCTCAGTCCTCTGTACCCCCTAACTGAAGAGAATTCTTTAAATCTCTAAGTGGTCCCTCTAGAGCTCCTCTCACTAGATATCAAGTGAGTCTGTACCCCCAGTTCTCCCATGGTGTGTGTGTGGGGGGGGAAGCAACAGCATAATTTTTAAAAGAATCCTCACAAAATGTTCTTCCATGACCCTTAAGTATCCTTCTTATGTGTTTTAGAGCCTCTAACTGGTTCTTGAACATGAAATACCCCACTTCCAAATTTCACACTCTTGTACCTTAATGCCTCTGCTAAAGTTCCAACATCTTTTTTTTCTTTTTTTAATTTTTGGCCACACCACGCGGCATGCAGGATCTTAGTTCCCCGACCAGTGACGGAACCCGTGCCCCTGCAGTGGAAGTGGGGAGTCTTAACCACTGGACCGCCAGGGAAGTCCCCCAACATCATTTTTTTTAAAAAATAAATTTATTTATTTATTCTTGGCTGTGTTGGGTCTTCGCTTCTGTGTGAGGGCTTTCTCTAGTTGCGGCAAGCGGGGGCTACTCTTCATTGCGGTGTGTGGGCCTTTCACTGTCGCAGCCTCTCTTGTTGCAGGTCACAGGCTCCAGATGCGCAGGCCCAGTAGTTGTGGCTCACGGGCCTAGTTGCTCCGCGACATGTGGGATCTTCCCAGACCAGGGCTCGAACCCGTGTCCCCTGCATTGGCAGGCAGATTCTCAACCACTGCGCCACCAGGGAAGCCCCTCCCCAACATCTTATGTTACAATAAAAATTAGGAACAGATGAGGTTAGGTCTATCTTCTGAGCAAATTCAAGAAGAAATTAATTCTTGTGAAGATTAAGCGAGACTCTTTTTTTTTTTCTTAATTTTTGGCTGCACTGCACTGCATGCGGGATCTTAACTTCCCGAACCAGGGACTGAACCCATGCCCCCTGCAGTGGAAGCAGGTAGTCCTAACCATTAGACCACCAGGAAATTCAAGAAATTCATTTTTTAAAAAACTTTTATTGGAGTATAGTTGGTTTACAATGTTGTGTTAGTTTCAGGTGTACTGCAAAATGAATCAGTTATACATATACATATACATATATCCACTCTTTTTTTCTAATATTCTTTTCCCATATAGGCCATTACAGAGAGTACTGAGTAGAGTTCACTGTCCTATACAGCAGGTTCTTATCGGTTATCTATTTTATATATAGTAGTGTGTGTATGTCAATCTCAATCTTCCAATTTATCCCTTCCCCTCTTATCCCCTGGTAACCATAAGTTTGTTTTCCACATCTGTGACTCTACTTCTGCTTTGGAAATAAGTTCATTTGTACCCTTTTTTTTTTTTTTTTAAGATTCCACATATAAGCAATATCATATGGTATTTGTCTTTCTGTGTCTGACTTACTTCACTCAGTATGACAATCTCTAGGTCCATCCATGTTGCTGCAAATGGCATTATGTTGTTCTTTTTTATGACTAATATTCTACTGTATATATGTACCACATCTTCTTTATCCATTCCTCTGTTGATGGACATTTAGGTTGTTTCCATGTCCTGGCTATGGTAAACAGTGCTGCAGTGAACATTGGGGGTACATGTATCTTCTCAAATTATGATTTTCTCTGAATATATGCCCAGGAGTGAAATTGCTGGGTCATATGGTAGCTCTATTTTTAGTTTTTTAAGGAACCTCCATACTGTTCTCCATAGTGGCTACCAATTTATATCCCCACCAACAGTGTAGGAGAGTTCCCTTTTCTCCACACCCTCTCCAGCATTTATTGTTTGTAGGGTCTTCTAAAAATATTTATTTATTTATTTGGTTGTGCCAGGTCTTA